GAAATTAGGTGCAGGTGTTAATAAATTAGTCTAGCAACAAAGGAAATTCATTTCAGTTTGTTGGAAAATGTCCGAAAAACGAAAGAAATGAGCTGTCGTTAGAAGATCGTATTAAAGTTATCACAACAGCAATTAGCGGCGAAGTTTAACTGTGGGAAAACGAAATTGATTTTATCATAGACCTACAGTATTTTCCTTGGGGGTGTAAAATATTGTACACGATACAATTAATTGGCTGATATCGTTTGATAAAATCTATTTTTATATTTGTATTTTGAAGCTCATATACAGTACATGTGCGATAAATAGTTTCTGTATCAATCTACATTATTTCTACGATATTTTTAGAAAAATAATATACAAGTAATTTTCGCGCGAAAAATATTCAAAAAACAATAAACGCATTAACCTTTTTATACTCGCGACCCACCAAATATTTCATAATTTGTTTTGTGACCCCCATTTTTTAATAATAATTTATATTTATTAAATTATCTATAATAAATTGATTTTTTAAATTATTGCTTTATTTTTTTTTTATATAATAAATGTAAAACATAACTTTATTATTTTATTATCTATTTAAATAACATTCAAACTCCACAATTAAACATAAAAGCTCATTAATTTTTTAACAAAAAATAAAATAAGAAACATTTAAAAATTCATAGAAAAAACGAAAAATATTCGAAAATACGTTCTTGCGAAAGGCAGCAAATTTTGCATTGCTGCTGAAAACAGGAGAGGATTTTCTGCAGGAATTTGTATGCAAAATTCCAAGCATTAATAGTTTTAATAGTTTCTTAAAATTACTTTGAAATGAAAGAAGTAAATAGTGCGGTGTAAGTAGCATATTTGTTCTGTACTAACAAAGTTGTATGTAGGAAAAAATAAGAAATAAATAAAAAAAACTAAATACGATAACTTTATCTTTCTTATTTCACTTTTCAATACGATATTCGGTTATACATCAATTTTCTTTTTATTATATTCTGAAGGAAATTTTGCATAATTTGGCGGCCCCTGAAAACTTCTTACGGACCCCTGGGGCCGAGGCCCCCTTGTTAAGAAACACTGCCATAGACAGGTTTTACTGTATAATAAAATTCTTATTTAGAGTAATAAAACATTACTTTCTCTCAGAACTATTTTATTCTGATGCTTGTTATATTCTAGAAATAAACGATATAGTGTAGTTTTTTTTTTTAATCCGAAAGCCCCGTTTCGAGTCTATCTCATCGGAGAGATGGAATTTTCAGTATTATTTTAAACCAAAGTTAATTTTATTCTTTATGTTGAAAATATGTTCAGAAGATATCTAATACTTTTTTCTGCTTAAAACTTATTATTATTTTAATATTTATTTTAATAAAATTGTCGGGTTTATTATCGATTAGGAATTGGCAACACTTAATCCTACAACACGTGGTCGATATTTTTAATATTTACAAATGAATATCGTTCGTAATTTTATCCTAGCAAATATTCCAAAAGCTCCTGTATACGCTTCAATACGTCGATTTGAACGGAAAAAATATATTAGACGCTATGGCTACGAGAGCCCATTATTGGAAAGAGGTACGAATTCAACAAAATAAAGTAGAATGCACTTTAGAAAAATATTACCAACGTGACTAGTACGTGTGAAACGTGAGAAGCACTGGTGACAACACGTAGCTAGTCATGTGTGCTTCTCTCCTACATCCTCACAAATTTTATAATTTTTCTGAATATCATCTTCCATGATGAAGATTTGACGTCATTAAAATAGTCTCCAATAGCAGTTCGAAAGATAGAATAAAGAAATTTTCTTCCATAAAACCGTAAAGCTAATTATCATCATGTGTTAAGCTCGGAATTTGGAGAAGCTTTGTCATGCTGGTGTGCATCATACTGAAACTTAAAAAAATATATTACTGTGAGGGACCGTAGTCCTGGCTCGCTAATTAAGTCGGATGATGCATTAGAACCTCGTAAACACATTTATTTCTCCACGCAAAACTCATTTGAAGTACAAAAACAACATCGACTCGACACGCTGTAAACGAGTCTTTAATACTGTTTTAATGCATTGTTTTCGGCTATATATTAAATGGTCTTCATCCAAGATTGTTTAATATGGCTGGAAATGTTTGCATTAAAACTGACTGTATGAAAAAAGCGTGTAATAGAAAGCATAATTCCGTACACAACAGCAACAAAGTTCCTATGTAGAAGTTTGATACAATTTTTGAAAAGTAAATAACAATATATGTAATAAACTTCCTAAAGCCAAACATGTTAATACTTGACCAAATGATCGTCGTAATTAATTGGGCTATAAATTTGTGTGTCAATGATTTGTGGCCCAATTAATTATGGCCATCATTTGGTCGAGTAAATAACAATATGCTATGAATTTATAGTTTAATAAATTTGATAGTTTCATTATGTTAAAATATCCAAATTTTAAAATATTTAAAATGAATTAAATTTGTAGGTAGAGACGTAGATCTTTTAATGAAAAGATAAAAGATCATCCTCTTCCTTCGGGTAGTCTGAAGAAAGTGTACTCAAATTCACTTTAAAGAGTACCTTTATAACTATTATGGCTTATAATTATGCTAAAGTATTGAGATCTCCTTTGATGTGAATATGTTAATTGCTGTATTTATTATAATGATTAAGAATTTGAAAGTGAAACTTAAATGTACTATTTTCCTAATATCAGAATTTGGATTGCATGAAAACAGTATTTATTCTATGTACAACAAAATATCATGCCATTTTTTTTAAATAAAAAACATCATTAGTAATTTAAATCATAGTATATAAATTAAGATCAAGACAGAAAAAATGTTTTATTCAAGTGGATCTGAAACCAGCTGATTAGAAATTCAAAACATCACTAAACAGCATTTTGAGTATTGTTTATAAGGTATATATTCCAAATTATATCTGTTATGATTATCCAGTGTGAAAAACTGATGGAGAATGAATGAATGAAAACAATTCAAATTCATTAATAAATAGATTAAAAAATTAAGTTAAAAATTTGAATTTAAAAAAGATTTCAATATTAAAATATTATAAATTGTTTTAACTTGAATTATTGATAATTATAAAATTAGAATTTGTATTTCAAAAGTTTCTGCAATGATGTAGTATTAAAAATAAAAATCATCAGTATTTTTTCTCTATCTATTACATCACTTAGAGTGAGTCACCTTGCATACAATTATCTATTACACTGTGAAAAATGTATAATGGGCACCATTGGCAACTGAATATAAAAATTCCAGCTTATTAAATTTAAAGTTTAGTCTTTTTTTATAAGTGATCTGTTTGCAGATGATTCATTCATTTATTTAAAAAAAATTATTTTAAGCATGCTTGTTACAGATAATGTAAATTTGTTTAACAGTTTTTGTAATTAAAAATAATGTATTACGAAATTTTGTAGGTCCTTTACCTCGTTTGAAAAATGATAAAGAGAAGATAGCTGTGATCCCTGATTATAAACCAAAAAATCCTTGGAGTAATAAAAAAGCACTTTTTGGTCAAAATGATTATATTGGTAAGAGAAAAAGTTTTTGATTTTATAATGTTTGTAAGATTAGAATTAGCAGAATTGAAAAAATTACAATAATTTCTTAATGTATCAATAATTATTATAATTCTACTAATTAAGTGCCCATTAATTTGAACTTGGATAGTTCAAAATCCCATTAACCGTACTATTTGTCCCAACCAGGGATGTAGAGATTTATACATTAAGGAATTCAAAGTGAAAATTCTGTCCAAATAGTGATACTCATACTTGTTTGTTTAGATTGAAGTGCCTCTATGCTATGAGAGAACAATAGACCAAAATGACTAATCTGGTCAATAAGGCTTTGCTTTTACAATAACACATTTTTAGGTATAACTTACCCATGGACTAGCCTTTTTCTCTTATCTCATAAAATATGGCTGGGTTTTAGGATTGCAAGATTGTGCTACAAGTACTTGATTGAGATATTTGTAAGGATCTATGCTACTACATTTGAGCAACTTGCTACTATTTTGGCCACTTTAAAAATAATTTGGGCTACATTTTGAGGAATTCTGCTCTACTTTTCATAAAATCTATCTGGAAATCTATGAGGTTCTTACTAGATATGTGCTTTTTACTTGTAGTTTATTATTATTATTATTATTAATTATTAATTAAGGAAAATAGCATTCTGTATACATAGCTGTATTCTGTTTTCTTAATAAATTATATCAGTATGTGTCATCTGGCATATTGTATAGAAATATGTAAATCTCAGATAATTTGAAGTTGAATTTCGAACTAACAAGGATTTCCTGTATACAGCTTAAGGATAAAAATTCTTCCATTTAAATAAATATTTTATGAATTATTTCAATTTTTTTGTTTCTTAAACAAGTATTTATTATAAAAGCAGATTTTTCAAATATCCAAAATATCGGAATATGGAATAATTGAAGAATCATCATTTAATAGATTTTACATTAAAATTGTTGGACTCCAGCACTATAATGATGTTATACCATGAAATACTAATGCATAAATACTAATATATTTTGTTTATTAGAACTCGTAATAAAAATTAAATTAATAGATAATTCAGTTTAAAGTAAAAATGTATACAGTAATGTTTTAGCATTCTATTGTAATGCTTTACTTCCATAAGAGAAAAAGAGGATTGTGATTTTTTGTCAATTACAGTGATTTTCTTCCAAGAATATGAAAATGAAAAGTATATGATAAAAAGACTAGAATAAGACCAAAAGACCAAACAGATATACCTCATACAACACTGTTTTCCTCTAACACAATTTTGGATATTCTCTGTAAAAAATTTCACAATTTTCAAGTGTAAACTCCATTATTCAATTTTTTTTTTTTAATTCAAGTAAGCATGTGTATCGTCTCAAATTTGCCACAGATTTTAGAATATTGAAATTTTCAATTTGTTTTGTACAGTACCTTTTATTAGGTTTATTGTAATGAAACTGATAGTGCAGTTTTTTCTTCCTTTTCTTTGCTTTTCTGTCAACCAGGTGTGTTTGTTGTTGCTTTCAGACTTTAGCCCTTAAGACTGTCAGTGTGCTTTTTTTTTTATAGATTAATCTTTGTATTTAGTAAAGTTTATTTAAACATTTTTAGGTAAGTGTTATTAAACTTTTTAAATGACAAATGAAATACAGAGGTATCTCGGTATTCGAACAGTTCTGAACTAAAACTGTTAAGTATTCAAACATAAATTCAGGGGAAAACATGGCTTAGTACTCGACTGAACAAACATGACCCTCTAGAACAAATTTTTGATTAATAACATATTTTTATTTTGTCATTCACAAGAAATTATGATAAAAACTTTTTAAAATGAAGATGTTGCTGATATTTCCGATCAAGATTAGCAAAGAAAGCTCAGAAGACAATAATACTTTGTAAAAAGAAAACACTCTTGTTTAACTAAAATTAATATTAATGCACATTACAATACTTTTAATTGTGATTGTTAATTATTGATTGTGAATGCATTATTGATTGCTTTCATAAACAGTATTGTTTATGAAAGCAATCAATAATGCATTTACAAAATGCAGTCCAATACTTGTATTGGGCTGCAATTTGAAAAAATTGTATATCTATAAATTCCCACTGTTGTCTGTCTGTCTGTCCTTAATCTCAAGAACAGTTAGATAGATGAAAGCCGAGACCACATATGAAAAGCCGAAGGACAGGTAGCCTGATTACGTATATGCAAACCTATTTCATAATTAGTCATTTTATATTGTATTAAACTAATATAAGATTAAAATTAGATTCATATTTCAATGAGTGTACATAAAGCATTAACATTTTTTCAGATGATTGTCTTGTTATATTCAGAGATATGATTGGTTATTATGGAAAGTGGAGATGTTTTACACATTATACACAAAATGGGATCCAGTTTAAGACATTAATGTTAACTACATTATATATTATAATTTAAATTTAAGTGAAATTCTTTTAAATTCATGACGTATTAGTCTAATAATATAATTTCATGTAAATGTTTTTGACGATTGTCATTAATATTATTTTATTTTTTAGATATTTTGGGTGATGGTAGTATTCATCCAGTTAAGCTTCTCACTGATGTTCCCGGTTGGTTGAGAGGGTTTCGAGGAAACGAGTTTCAAATGTTGTTAAGGCAAAGAGCGACACATTTTCATTGGAGGTATTCAAGACCAGCAAAATGGAATTTAGTTAACAAGAGAATTAAATATTTGTATAAGTGGTTAAATATGAAAACTGAGAACTAACTGTATATGTAATTAAATAACAAATAAAATGTATGTAGTTTACAAATATCTCTGGATTCATATTTTATCATTGATAAATGTATTTATAGCATACATACATATGAATTATTTATGATGGACAGCTATAATTTAGTTAACATTCTAAATGCTACTACATTATATTTGATTGTTGTAAAGTATTAATCAAATAGATAATTACTCAGATTATTTATCTATAGAAAATTCAGATTAATATATTTAAATAAATAAAGTTTATTTGTGTTATACAATAATTCAGATTGATAATCTTGAGAGAGAGAGAGATAGTTTTACATCTAATTGTAGATTGATTTTTAATGCTTGATTAATGTATTTTTAAAGTAGTTAGAAATTTTTTAAACAGAAATTACTATATACTAACATTTTATTTTTGACTATTAACATAATAATCACTATTCTGTCTATTTTGTCAAACACATTCAACAAAACCTTTAACATCCAGTAATGAAAATTTTAATGTTTGTCAAAGTTTTTACATTAAAATTTTCATTACTGGATGTTAAAGGTTTTGTTGAATGTGTTGATTAATTTGTTCCAGTTGTTGAGAAGGTAAGTCTATTTTGTCAATTTTGATTATGTTTTATTAACTACCTTTCTTCTTGAAGCCTTCTATTCAATTATGCTAGCATGAAGCATCCTCTATTTATTTGATATGCATTTTTCAGTAAAGTTATATTCTAAATTGTGGCTTAAATTCTTTGCATATTCTTCATTGAGTTTAAGTTGAAGCATTTTTTAATACTCTAACAAGACATCCATTCAATTCTAAGGTAAATAACTTGTATTTTATATTATAATGCATACAAATATAGTCACAAACTATCTTTGTATGAATTTATTTGACTTTCAGACAACTTGCTCTTTTGCACATGGTACTTGTTTGACACCCTCAAATTGCTTTTCTTATACCAAGTTTGTACTTTGTATATTTTCTTCTGACAAACAAAACTTTTGAGCTATTGTGGAGTGAATATTTCTGCCAATTATAATTTGGTAACACTTGTGTAAAGTAATTTTTATTGTCTGTTCTCTGTCTAATCTTTGATTTTAATGTTTTATGCATAATAACTGTAAATATAACAAATATTTAAAATAATAAATATTTTCTGTAAAAAATTAAAATTTTTCTACCTTAAGAGAGTTCATAATTTTTCCTTTTAGCTATCTGAGAGTGTAATTTGCATTATAACCTGCAATTCTATTGTTTGACTTTCAGACTATTGTTTGGCATTCAACTTTTAAACATACTTTACATAATTATATAATATTGAAAAAAAAATGTTATATTCTAAACATGGAAGTTGAAACAAATCAATAAATAATAATTTTACTAGAAAGATTCTTAGCAAAGTGAATAATCTATTTATATCAGATATCTTACGAGATACATTTGTTAATATTTAAGGTTAATGAAATATTCAAATCATTAATATTTAATTAAGAATATACAATCCATATCAAATTGATTTGTATGTGCAACTTCATTTTTATATTTGAAAAATGGTAATTCTGAGATATTAACTTTAATAGATTTTATTAAATAGTGACAACAAGAAAAGTGTCGGAAAATATTTAAATAAAAAATTAATTTTTAGCTGTGTTATACTTATAGGGGTGATATGGATGTTGGATCCCTCCTCAGAGGCTTTAGGTATAAAAACTAAAAAAATTTGTCTTAAACAACAAATCTATAATTACATTTTATTAATGAATAATTCAATATCAATCAATTAATTCTTATTGTGATAAAAAATGAATGCTCAGTTATCAATTACTTATATTACTTGACTGGATTATTCTAGAAGAAAAATCATGGTTTAAATATTGAGTTTGTTTTCAAAGTTTCCTTCTAGATGTATCAGGAACATTCTAGAACATTTTCTGGTGGTTATATAAGGGCTATTCATTTTTCAGTAGTGAGGGTTAAGGGATGTTTAATTTTTCTTCATTCCGATTATATTACTTTAGATCTTCCCAGAGCAAAATCTTAGTTACACCACAGATTTCTATATATAGCTGTTTGACATTATCATCAATTTTGAATATATAATTAAAATAATTTACTGAATTTAATGTGAAACAGTAAAAATTAACTGAAATTCAAATATAGAATTGCCAGATGTATTTAGTCATGTTATACTTAAAGTTTTATAGGCCTTTAATTTTTCCATCTTAAGAATTTGATAAAACTTATTTTCTTAAACTTATATGATCTTAGAACTGATAAGTAAAATTTTTGCAAATGCAAATGAATTTGCATATCATAATCAATTTACAGACTAATAAACTTAAATAAAAATAAATAAAAATTAACATATGCATCTGTAAAATTAACAATGCTCTGTAAAGAAAAATTTACAGATCATATAATGTTTTTTGATGTTGCTTATTTGAGAAGAATATACAGTATATCTTTCAAAACCCAAATACAGCATTCTTAGTAAAACAATGTATGTGAAAAGTCTCAAGTTACATTCCAAGTACAATTGGTAGAATGTCAGAATCATATTTACACTATGAAAAGCATGTCATAACTTCAAGCTTCAAATCTCTGCCTCACTTGGTGATAACAGTTCATTATAGGGATTTATTATTTTTTTATTGTAAATTTTTGTCTGCTTTTTCTAAGACATTTCTTTATTACTTTATTTTCTGTGTCATATTAGAAATAAAGCATTTATAGTATTTTGTTACATTTGTTACTGCATATAAAGCAACTGCTTGTTATAACCATATTAATTACTTGATGATCAGGAATTGAGCATTTTAAATCTTAGCATGTTAGTTACTATATAAATTTAAATATTAATTATCATGTTAAGATGTACTGGTAAATGGTTAAGTATTTTGGTTGACATGCTACAATTTTTCCATTTAAAATAATGGGAAATAGATTACTGGGTTTTGTTATTTTCAGAAATAGATTACTAACATTAAGTGGGAATGTCTGTACATCTGATGACAAGAAATGATGTCATTTTTATTTAATCTCCTTTAATAACTTGTTCAAGTCATAAAAATTTATGTCTAGGTTTTAGCTTATTAAATTATAGCAGGGGTGGGCAACCTGAGTTCACATTAATATTTTTGCAACAAACTATATCAATTTCCCAATTTGAGGAAGTATGCAGCAAAAATTTTATCATTGTTTTCTACAATTTAGTAAAAAGTAAAGCAAGAAATCAGTTAACAGACTCACATCAAAACTAATTTAAAACTAGCAGTGACTAATATTCAACCAAATGTTTCAGATATACTGTATTATGTTCACATCAGTGACAGTAGTCAAATTAGATACATGTATGTTAATTCATAATCATATATGAATAAATTATTGTGATTTACCTGGATTTTTTTTTTTCTTTTTTCTCTTGGTTCAAAAGTTTTAAGTGTGACCTTTACATAGAAAAAGGTTGCCCAAGTCTGATCTATAGAAATTTTGCAGCATTTTTTTATGAGTACTTTATTATCTAACATACAGTATCTAATTAATCATTACCATTTAGGGAATGATATTTTTTAATGTAATAATATATAGTAACAAAAGACCATGTAGATAATGTTTGATAAATTTTATTTTTAACTGTTATTTATAATACCAGTAAATTGAAATTTGATCTTTTTACAGTAGAACATTTCTTAGTTCAAATCAAATTACCATTCAGTAGCTATAACTGTGACAAAAATTCCTTCTGCAAGAAATGCACTTTAGTATTAAAAATGGAAGAATTAAATATTTGTCAGTTATTCAAAAGATTGTATTTCAGAGTAAAAAATATAATTACTACAGTATTTTGGAAATTTTATGAAAACTAATAGAAAATTTCATTCTGATATGATTAACCATCTGTTTTCTATATTTGTTTTTAATAATTTGACAAATGTAGAAACTCCCTAATATTGAAATTCAGTAAAAATTTAATAAAATTTGATCATCTATATTCAGATTATCTATGTAAATAAACAATAGTAACATTTAAGCATACTAAGGGATTGATTAAATGCTAAATAAATATTTAAAAAAGCACTTCCATCTGTTTGCTTAAGTTTTTCCAGTGTTACTCTGCTCATGTTATACAGGTAAAAATGCTTTTTAAATATTTACTTAGTATTTAATCAAATTCATTGCATGCTTAAATATTGCCTTTGATTATTTTTATATGCTATGTAGAGTTTTTTTTTACCTATCTTAAGTTTATATGTTACAGTTTTCTTCTAAAAGTGTAAAATAATAATTTAGATAAATATATAAGTCAATCTTTGTGAAGCTATACTTAATAATGAGAGAGAAATAGTTGCAAGTTATTCATTTTGACTATTTTTAATTGTGAATTTTTTCACAATCTTAATGCTATCTCATTCTTTAATCTATTTTTAATATTTATTTCTAAATTATTACTTGTTCAAATAGTTGTATATGTAATAAAAAATTATTTTTAGTATTTATGCAAACTATTGGATTGACAAATAAAAATCATATGTTTGTTTTTGGGATTCAGTTTGAAAAAATAGACCTATAAATTCCCACTGTTGTCTGTTCATCTGTCTTTCTTTAATTGCGAGAATGGAGTTAGGTAGATAAAAGACGAGACCAGATGTGGAAATCTTACGGGCAGGAAGTCCCAATTAATTATATACGAACTTCCAATACAAACCTGAAGTCACGTTATTGTAATTCAAAACTTTTCTCCTGAAAAGAGTTAGCTAGATGACTGGCACAACTCCATTGCTAATGGAGAAGTATGATGTACAGGGGCAAGACACTACAGTATTAATTTGAGGTATAGAGTATAATTTTAAATGAAATAAATTAAAAGTATGATTAAAACTTGCAGTCCAGCATTATGACAATGTCACAATAAATAACTACTCATTATTTCATTTTTTGCCTTGAATTGATGTGATTCAGTTTTTCCAGCTATAAAAATATATTTTCTGATAAAAAAATTTATTTTGATTTTGTTGTTCTATGGAATTTATGCTATTATA